ATTTGTTATATAACTTTCTTTTTTATGATTTAAAATATCAATATTATTTGAATTCAATTTTGGCAAACTAGAAATTTAGAGAAGGAATATGAACTTAWTAAAAAGTTTCTTTAATATATAAGTACTAAGCAACAATCAGAAACTCTTTATTGCAAAAGCGTTAGTAAATTTTCAAAAAAAAATGGTAGTACCTAAGCCTTGCTGAAAGTAAAAACTATATAATTATTTTACTGACATTTATAGGGAAAAAAAACTAAAAAATTGAAAGCTGAAAGTGTCTGTAAACAGCTTAAAATAAGTTAAAATATTTTAAAAATGTTATGGCATATGACAAATGCTAATTTAAGCATTCAGTGAAACCATTATGTACYTGTCTACGTTAATTTGTGTTATAGTTACACCAAAGTCCAAAATCGATTTGGTCAAAAACCGATTTTGAGTTAAAATGTCTATTTTTTCTTAATTTTTTTTTTTCCTGGCGCTTTTGAACTACTAAGAATTTGTACCTCCTCAATGTATCAACTAGGTTCACTTTCTCATCAGAAAAGCTAATGAAGGTAAAAATCAAAGCATTATGTTAACTACTTACTGTATACACATACACAAAAAAAAATAGTAAATAATTAATAAACACATATCATTGTAAAATTAACACATTCATCATTCCTCTTAGAATCTTAAAGCTGAGCCATAGAGCAATGAGGATATTAAGAAATATCATTAGAGGCCAGAGCATAAATAATACCAAAACAAAACATTAAATAAATCAATAAAAAAATGAAGTATTATTATTTATTACATTWTTACATTAACAACAATTATTTCCCTATTCAGTCTGTTAATATCCACTTAATCATTGTCAAATAGACAAACAACAAAGAGTTAATACTATATTGAATGTAACAGAAAATTGTTATTAGCGACAAAAGAGTATAACTAAAAAAAACCCCTTTTTAAAAATTATATTACAGAGAATCTGAGTAAAAWTAAAATAGCCCAAAAAAGTGACAACTATTACTTGTTAGTTGTTAATAACATAAAAATTTAATTTTTGTGTTTTATTTTTAATGATAAATAAATCAAAAATAAAACTGCTGTAAAACTTAATTCTAAAACTACATAAACTTGATTTTTTATTTAATCTTTACAATGACATTTGTATTTTTCGATAAATATATCTATACAATTAAAAATATATAAGTAAATAATATTTTTGCTAAGTATTTATACAAAGTAAAATATTGGCTATGCAATCATTTTAAAAATGCAGGTTTAAAAATATAAACTATTTTATGATAAAATTACATTTCAATTGTCRTTCATTATTAATAAAATTACATATGTCAACAAAAAATTAAAGTAATATAAGACCTATTAATTGTACGGTTTAATCATGTAACTGGAGAAGCTGAGCCAGATCTAGAACCTGATCTGCTTCTGAAAATAAAAATAATTGTAAATTAAATATGTCTTTTTTGCTATTCAACATACTACTATAAAGTTATACAATCCAGATTTTAAATAATGAATAATTAGTTATCTATAAATTAATATTTAGTAAAAGATATAGCCTTTTGAGTTTTAATAAACTGATCAAAAATGTATACTTTAGCAAAATCTCAAAAATAGAAATCAATTCAGGGATTTAAAAAAATGTCGATTACTGAAAAGAAAGTAAAAAATCGACATTGATGAAATAAAAGCTTCACAAGAGTATTTACAATACGAGAAATTTAACTAAAAACTTAAGTACAATAACATATTTGCATTGATTTTCTACAAAATAAATAATTATTAAAAAAAAATATGGAAATATATAAATTTTATGTTAAGACATGATTTATACCATGACTAAATAGATAGGTATGATCAYATTTTTACTAATACGCACATTCTTCTTTAAGCTCAGTCTATTATTCAGTTTTCAGCTTCTTATTGGCTATTCACATTAATAATACTAATATTATATTTTAAAAACTAATTAARTTGAAATAATTATTTTTGATTTTTGAATAATGACTTAGAATTTATAACTTAACTACTAAGTGTTAGGTTTAATAAGTGGTATGAYTATGTGTATTATTGTACAATATTCATATATTAAAAATATTTGTACCAAAATTATTACGACCAATGATATAATGAKAACTACAGTAGGTAGGYGTGCTAGATTGGT